ATATATATATATATATATATATATATATATATATATATATATATATATATATATATATATATATATATATATATACATTCTGATTGCCTACTCCTGATTTCATGCTTGTCTGACTCTCGGCACTATGCAGACCCTGACATTCACAATGTCAGCAACAGGCGAAGACGCTGTCCCCGCTCGATCGTCGCCCATTGCGGCATTTCCGCAGGGGACGCCCTATGCTCGTCAAAGCGTCGATCGATCTCCATGTGCAGCGCAGGGGTTGTTGGGCGTTTCACCGCAGAGCGGTGGTCCGGAGGTCCGGTTAGGGAAAAGGCGACGTGGTAGCGTTTCGCATGCGACTGCCGGCATCGTCGGCCCGGGCGTGACACCCATTTCGCCTTTCGCTGGTGTGTTGGGGGCTTCTCCACCGGGTGTGCCCGCGGTTCGTGACGCAGCCGCGTATGAAGGCGTGTTTGGTGGTCCGTTGCTGCCATCCCCACTACTGCCTAGACGGCTGGACTATGCGGCCACGATTCCTTCAGCACCTGTATGGTCACATGCGCTGACCCCGCCATGTCCCGCTGGAGGCGCTTCTCTTTCAGGACATCGCAGCGACGCTTGGCGTTGTCCTACCGTTTCACGTCCACGAGTCGTCGGCGCGGCGGCCGGTTCGTCTCAATTGCCGCCTCAGTCTTCCTTTGTCGCTCCTGATTCCACACCTCCGGTTGACGATGTCGATAACTCCGAGGCAGTCGGTGGCACGCCGTATTCGGGCGGCAACAGCATCGTGCGTGTGTGTGTGCGGGACGCGTGTTGGAGGCGGTTGTACGCTCTCCGCGATGCTATGTTCGATGTGGGTGACCATCGCGGACCGGTCAGCGACGTTATTGATCGGCTGCTCCACTGGTCCTTGCCAGCCATCTGTGCGGAGTTTGGTGTCAGGGTAGCAGGTGTGATTTCTTCGTCGTTGCCATCTCGGGTGTGCGGTCGAGATTTCACATTGCGTTATATGCCAGGAGATTCCGGTGCTGACGACGTTCAGGGGGGTTCGCAGGGTTCAGCGAGCGGAGGGTTGGGGGAGTCGCAGGATGGATCGCAGAACTCGTTCCTGTCGTCGCGTCGTGCATCACAACGCAGTGACAGAGGGCGCGGTAGACCCCGCAGCGCGGGTCGGTACACACCGACACCTACCCGGCCGCAGATGTGGTGGGACAGTTGGGAAGGTGTTGACCAGTGTGGTCCTAGGCCTGAAATTGACCGTGCCAGTGTTGAGGAGGCGATGGCATTGTGGAGTGGACCGACGGCGCCAGATGTTGTGTTTCTGGAGTCGGTCAAGCTCCTTCAATTGTTGGCCATATTTCATCTATATTGCCCGTGGCACAAGGGTTCGTGTCGTGTGTCTGTGAAGTCCGTCTCCTATCCAGCGCAGCTCTGTAAGCTGATGTTCGTATGCGACAAGAAATACAAATGGACGTGGCACATGGCACACGTGACCACGAACGTCTACCAATCGCGACTGCAGCAACAACTCTTTCATGCGACGGTCACCACCGGCCTTACGTTCACGCTCCTTGACAACTTTTGTGTTGGTTTAGGGATGCACTCAGTGCACAAACCCACGTTCTACAAGTTTATGCGCACAGAACCGGGGGAGGCGGAGGGGTGGAATGCCAAGGTCGTACGGCAGGGCATTAAATATTGCAGGCTTGTCATTGACACTGTGATGCGTCGTGGTGAGTCAGTGACATTAATGGTCGATGGTCGATATGACTCTGCCAGAAGCGCGCAGCATTGCACTGTCACCGCGATGGAGTACGAGACTCGGCTTGTTGTGGGTGTGCACACTCTCCATCCAAAGATCGAAGGCAAGGCGTCGTGCAACTTTTGCGGGGGCTGATGGAGAAGGGGTCAGCGGTCGAGTTGTCTCGGATGATTGTGCAACTTTTGCGAGGGCTGATGGAGAAGGGATTGACGATCCGGTGCGTTGTCTCGAATGATTGTGTCGCGCTGGGACCGTAGTTGCGAGCTCTGAACATTGAGTGGTAGAAGGATTGCCACCACAAAATAAAAAACCTTCGCAAGCACTTCCACAGTATGCTGCAACTAAAGGAAGCGAAGAAAGTGAGTAACCCGCACGAGTGTGTGTCAGAGGCGCAGTTTATGCAGTTCACGAAGAAGCGGCTGATGGAGGCGTTGGAGCAGCGTTTCAAACCTGGCGTCCTCACACCTATTGAGGAGCGGATGAAAAAATCGAATTCTGTCGCTGTCGTCATGCGGAAGATGTACCCTTACGGATCGATGTCGAACGCTCGAGCGTTGGAGACTGATCCTGACGGCTTGACATTGTATCATGCGCATGAGGTTGGGATGTGGTTCCTCCGCGCTTGTCAGCTGTGCAGGGAGGAGGGTGGAGACACCAGCAGTCTACACCGCGACATCATGTTGGTCGCCGATCATTGGGCTGGTGATCATTCGAGATGTGTCGGCGGTAGGGAGGTTCTGTGCGAGAAGGCCGGTGGGCCTGCACGATTGCCTTTGTATAGCCGCACGGACACGGTCTACGAACTCGTTCTACGTGTTCTCGGAAAACAATGCAGCACTAACATCACGCCGTACTACGTCGAGTTTCGGCACACATCGGCGGTTGAGACTTTTCAGGGCACCATCATCATCTATGCGAAGAAGTCGGTGCATTTCGGGAAGTCTTACTGTGCGCGTTTGTCGATCGCCATGATTCGGTGGAACAGTCACTGCTGGCGCGACCCAGTCGGGTATGTTGCTCGCATAGCTGCGGACACTTCCATACGTCCGAGACCAGGCTTCCGTCGACACTACGGTCAGGAGGGGATCGACTCTTGGCAGGACAGGTTAACGGCGTCCGTGTTCGGTTCGGCTCGTGTTTCGGACTGGGTTTGAGAGCTTTTGCGACATGAGGTTTGTCCTTATGGAGTCGGGCCATTGCCGCGCGATCTGTTCGTCAACGGTGGGGGCGACCCAGTGGAAGTCGTTGATGATGATGCATCCGGTTCCGACCATGAAGCGATGGGGGATAAATGTGTTTTCATCATCGGTCACGTGGAGGACGATGTGGTGCCTGCATGTGATGATTGGGTCCCGACATCGAGCTCGGAATCTGAGGGTGACGATATAGAGTTGTTCAGTGTTTGACTGATTGAATGGCTTTATCGTTGACCTGACATTGATCTGCTGATCCGAAAATCATTACGCACGGCGTTGTTATCACACATCTCATGGAGTCTTGTTTGTTACACTATATTATTTCCTACTTTTTTTTATGTTATATATATATGTATATATAACATGAGGACATTATTTTGTGTGATTCTAGTTTGTCTGTTTGTCCTTTCACGACTGTTTTTTTCGCCCATCTCATTTCTTGTAATTCACATGCTTACGCTCTTAGGCAATAGTTGTTTGACATTATATAGCCGAACGAATTATGAGTTACACGTTGATCCAATAATAAAATGACATCCAGTTGCAATAATAAATGAATCAACTCAAGTGGTGAGAGCGAGGATTATAATCGTTCAGATTCCATAGCCAATAGTACAATGACATACAATTGCAAAAACAACAAAATGAACTTCAAATGAGAGATCGAGGATTATAAGAAGAAGAAGATKATGTACACCAGGGAAACCAAATTTGACATAATGCAATCCCTGTAAGTCACGACAATAGGTAAGTACCGGCCCTGATGGCCTGTCGAACAAGCACGGGCCGTTACGGGGCACAAAAAAAACAACCCCCACTCTTACGGTTACGATCACACACACACTCAAGGCAAACACACAGTCCGATTGACATACGTAGTCACACTCAAGGCAAGCATACTCGCAATCATACTCTCTCTCTCTCTCTATATATATATATATATATTGTCGTGAAGTATTTACCAGTGTGCACGTCGACGTGGGCGCGCGTTTTCAGGAGGATCACATTGCCGTAATTCAAAACCTCGAATGATTGTATCTGACCATCGTTCCCACATTGTCGTCTGGAACGCATCTGACAATCTCTGTCGGAATACGACGAACCCGCACAACCGAGAAAAAGCGACATATCCATTGTAACGATTCTGCTTTGGTTCGAGATTTGCACGACCAATAAGCAGATTCATGCACTGTTGCAGATGCTCCTCCAGCCCAGCAAAAGTCACAGCCTCCTCCAAAAGCGTTGCGGGCCCCGGCCACCGACTCCTAATCTCGGCGACTGTTAGGTCCTCGTCGAGGAAAGGATCAGTATCTGTCCCATTTCCGAATACGACTGCATCGGCCTGCACGTCAGCCCTGCGTCGTCGGCGGTCCATGTCTTGGAAAGGGTGAATATTGTTTTGTCGGTTATGTGTGATTTTTCAGAAATCTACAAAACACAACATTACCTCAGTATTGTACCTCGACATAATGAAAAAACAAAAAAACAATAAAAGACACAAAGTAACTGAAGAAAAAAAAACGAAAATATTAAAAAAACACATGGGATATGACGATTGCATATGTATACACAAAATGTACAATCATTGAAACTATGAATTTGTCTCTCTCCAATAACGATGAAACATAGCAAAAAAAACGAATGGTACTCATCGTCGGATCCCATAGCAAGGATAGAACATGGCAGAGAAATTCTCGCCATTGGACACAAAATAGGGCGGTGACAGGACCAGGCGCCAGACGCCGTCCCGAGCGACCGTCCCGTAGTGTGTGTATAGTATGCGATGCACTAGGGGGTAGACGATATCATACATCAAATCACCTTCGACTGGTTTGAGAACAAAGGTATTGAAGTACGCAGTTGGGTTAGACATCAGCACACGAACGTGTTCGATGGCGTGGTCACGAATATAAGTCTTAGTAGTAAGTCTGGCGACGAGGTCCTCCTCCACGCTGACAACGAAATGACGATCCACCATCTTGTCTCTATTGCGGTACCCCACTGCATCGCCGACATGATCTGTTACGGGAGTCATTGATTCGTAATAGTATACTGTGTCGCCGCTTGTCAGTTTCGTGGTGTGGTAACATTGGAAAATCATTGGCGCGCAAGGCATCGTCGCTTCTTTCGTATGGCATATGAAAACTGCTGCAATTCACAGAAAGCAACACCGTAAGTTATGAACCCAACGAGCGAACAAGGAATAACGCAAACATGATGTTCTACATATACCGTACGGGGAGGGGGAACGCACTTTATACATATACATGGGAGGAGTGGGTAGTCGCGGTCCCGAACACTGTCGAAAGTTGAAAACCTTTAGGATTTTGTTCCTCAACCCACCTGTTTCGGACTACGCATGAGACGAGCGGGATGATGGTTCGTTGACACTTTGGCACTGTTGTCCGCAAACGTCCTTTGGCAACACACTGCGCACATCTCCGTAGAGAAAACTATGGTGTTGCAGCGGGCGGTCGAGTTTGGAGAAATACCATGCGTTGCGTGCTAACCTTTCCACATGTTCGACCGCAACGACTGACACGATGCACCTTAGCAAATGACCAATCATATCGAAGTCGGGGGGTTCGCAGGCGTCGGGAACGACATCCGAAAGTTTTTTTGCGTGCATTACAACCTCATAAAGGCAATCATGGTCGTCGTACCCCAGCCCCGCCATGACCCTCAAAGCGAGAGTGTCATCGATGAACGTGTAGTACACACGTGTTTTCGTGGCGATAACACCTTCCCAGTATTCAAAGTCTCTTTCGTTTTCAGTATCGCGCTCACACACTGTCTCTCTCACGACGATTTCCTTTCCATCCACTGTCTCTTTCACAAAAACAACTACGTCGGCCATGTTGTGTCGCAGGGTAGAATAAGTGAACCTGGCAATTATGAACAGTCTCAATGGCTGGCCGACGATACTGCGAAACATGACGGCAACACAATGCGTACGATAAGCGACGGACACAATGAGTCGAGTCTCGCGGCTGCAAATAATAATAATAATAATAATGAACAGTGGTACGTTGGTTGGTTAGCTGGGTGGTTGGGTGGTTGGGCGGTTGGGTTAGGTAGTTGGTTGGGTGGTTGAGCGAATGGATGGGTGGTTGTGTGGCTGGTTGCTTGGTTGGTTGGGTGGTTAGGTGGACGGTTTTGTGGTTAGGTGGGTTGGTTGGTTAGCTGGTTGGGTGGTTAGGTGGGTGGTTTAGTGGTTTGGTGGTTGGGTTGTTGGATTGTTGGGTGGATGGGTGAGTGGTTGTGTGGTTAGGTGGGTGGTTGGGTGGTTAGGTGGGTCGTTTGGTTGGTTGGGTGGTTGGATGGGCGGGCTCCAAAACATGGGGTGGTTGAGTGGATAAATTGATTGACGCTGGCGGTTGGTTCGGTGGCTGGCGTGGATGGTTGGGTGTGTGGTTTTTGTTTTATATTGAACACAGAGAGAGAGAGAGAGAGAGAGAGAGAGAGAGAGAGAGAGACGTACTTACGTGTGTGAACCATAGCACTTTGCGAAGAAACGAACCCCGCATCAAATATTTGTAAATGACAATTTTTTTTTTTAGGTGACTGATCAGTTTGATGTGTTGGGCAATGGAAATTTCCTCTGACATAAGGTTTTCCAAGACGGGGAAGCCATTGTTGTGCTCGCAATTGAGTCACGGTAGCGACCACATGTTAGGCAACGACCCTCACTGTTGCACCTCACAGTCCCTGTGTCATACATCATCTTGTTCATATGAGAATCATCTGCACATGGCCGATTTGCATGAGCAGCTTGTGTTCTGTAATGCAGAAGTTCATTTTCCCTAGCATTCACACGTTGTTCGTGCAAGTCGATTTCTTGTCGCATAGCGTGCAAATCAGCAGCCGTGCTCTAAAGGACTTCCTCGGCTGCATGCAAGCGTTTCGTAGCCACTTCAAGATTCTTGACCACATCTTGAATTGCGAGTCTAACGTCGCTCAGTAGTTTGTCTTTCGGCATTTCGTAAACGATGAACTCGAATATTCACGACACCGCAACGAGACCTTGTAGTGGCTGCACGAATGAAATACAGCACGTGACACAATGTTATGCGTGACATCTCTCTCTCTCTCTCTCTCTCTCTCTCTCTCTCTCTCTCTCTCTCTCTATATATA